GGTCCACACCCCGTCTTTCACGTTGCAACCCACGTGGTCCAGAGTGAGTGGGCAGGGCCCGCCCACGTTCTCATTCGGTCCCCCAGCTGATGAAATCATGTTTCATTCATCACCATCACAAGGTGAGCTGGAGTCCTCTGGAGATGGCTCGCCTGTGCTGCTGTCCTCGGATGTGCTAGCATAGCGAGTTTGATTCAGGGTTCACAGCTATGCTTTCCCGGGCTGCCACGAGTATCGGGTTTGTATGGAAAATTCTGCCATGTCCCGAGCACTTAAGGCTGATGATTGGTTTTGGGGGGTGGCGAACCCAAATCCTTTCTTCCCGGATGTGCATGAAGAGGTCGTGAGATCGTGGAAGTCTCCTTTGACTTTTCACGATCACTCAGCGGCCTCTTCCGCCTTCTCTGCCCTCGTAGAGGCCGCAGTCTAGGGTACACTGGGGTTCCCCCCATGGAGTGTTCTGTGGCAACACTTATGTGTCCCCACAGCGCCTCCACTGGCCGTGGCAACCCTAAGCACAGAGCAAGATGAAAGTGCGCAACGCCCCCATGCCTCGCCACTCTCATTCTCCTCTGTCTCTGAGGGTGCGGATGAGAGTGTGTGTCGTCCCCGGACCACGCCACTCCCATCCCCCTCTATCGCCAAACCCCTGGCAGAGCAGACCCATGTGGAACGCTGGTCCTTCCCTGGTCTCCTCTGACGGGGAGCGGAGTTCGATTGTGCACACGCGGGGGGGGTAACACCTCTGCGTCTGCCGGTCTCTCCGCCCCGCTGCCCCTCCGGGGGGACGTCTGTGGCTCAGATGATCACACTGGATCAGTTTTTGGAAGCTTGGCTAGAGCTCCCCAATCTGTCCCGTTGGGTCGCCCGAGCGATCAGGCTCGGCTATGCGATTCAGTTCGCACGGTCTCCTCCCCGTTTCCGGGAAGTTCGCTTATGGTGGTCGGTGGCTATGCCCCGATCATGAGAGTGGAGGTTGCTACCCTGCTGGCGAAGGGTGCAATCAAGCCTGTCCCTCCAGCCGAGATGAGGTCAGGGTTTTACAGCCCCTACTTCATTGTCCCCAAGAAGACCGGTGGGTTACGACCGATCCTAGATCTTCGCGTTTTGAACCGTACTCTTCACCGACTGCCGTTCATGATGCTTACGGCCAAACGAATTTTCGTGTGCGTTCGGCCCCAGGATTGGTTTGCAGTGATGGACCTGAAGGACGTGTACTTTCATGTCTCCATCTTACCTCAACATAGACCATTTCTTCGGTTTGCTTTCGAGGGACAGGCATATCAGTACACGGTTCTCCCATTCGGGTTGGCTCTGTCCCCTCGCGTCTTTACGAAGATCGTCGTGGCAGCCCGTCGTGTTCCCCTTCGCGAACACGGGGTTCGCATCCTCAATTACCTCGATGACTGGCTGTTTCTAGCACACTCTCGAGATCAGGTTTGCGAACACAGAGAACTTGTGCTCCGGCACCTAACCCGTATGTGCCTTCGGGTCAACTGGGAGAAGAGCAAACTTTGCCCCGTGCAGAGGATCTCTTTTATCAGTATGGAGATAGACTCGGTCGCCATGTCCGTGCAGCTCACGAGCGAGCATGCACACTCACTGCTGACTTGTCTTCGACAGTTCAAGGGCAAGAGTGCGGTCCCACTGAAACTTTTTCAGAGGCTCCTGGGGCATATGGCATCCACAGTCGCAGCAACGCCGCTCGGATTGCTTCATATGAGACCGCCTCAGCTGTGGCTTCGCGATCGAGGTGGGCATGGCATCGCAGTACGCTCAGAGTTCCAGTTACTCCGACCTGCCATCAAACCTTCTTCCCGCCACCTCCTATTATGGAGTCAGAAGCACCTGAGGTCCCTTCGTGCTATTTACATTCCAGGAGAGCGGAACCTGGCAGCCGACGAGCTGTCGCGGTTCCGTCCAGTCTCTGGCGAATGGCGACTCCATCCCCAGTCGGTCCAGCTGATATGGGACCAGTTCAGGGACGCACAGATAGTTCAAATCTGTTCGCTTCCCACGACTCATCCCATTGCGCCCTGTTTTACTTTCTGACCGAGGGCACGCTCGGCACAGACGCCTCGGTGCACAGCTGGCCACGGGGCCTACGCAAGTATGCGTTTCCCCCAGTGAGCCTTCTCGCACGTAGGCCTACTCTGTGCAAGATCAAGGAGGACGAGGAGCAGGTGTTGCTGGTAGCCCCATATTGGCCCACCAAGACCTGGTTCTCTGAACTGGTACTCCTCGCAACAGCACCTCCTTGGCCTATTCCTCCGAGGAAGGACCTCCTCTCTCAGAGACGGGGCACCCTGTGGCACCCTCATCCCGAAATGTGGCTCCTGGATGTGACGAGGCAGGTTTGAGTACCCTGCCACCTGTGGTGGCGGCTACCATCACTTCTGCTAGAGCGTCGTCCACTAGACATGTCTATGCATTGAAGTGGAACCTCTTTGTCAACTGGTGCTCTTCTCGCCGAGAAGACCCCCGGAGATGCTCAATCAGTGTCGTGCTTCCTTCCTGCAAGAAGGGTTGGAGCGCCCTGAAAGTTTATGTGGCTGCAATTGCCGCATTTCATGAAGCAGTCGAAGGTAAGTCGTTGGGGAAGCACGATCTGATCATCAGGTTCCTGAGGGGAGCGAAGAGACTGAATCCTCCTCGCCCTCCTCTCGTACCCTCTTGGGACCTCTCAGTGGTTTTAAGTGCCCTGCAGAGGCCTCCATTCGAGCCTCTGCAATCAGTTGAGATTAAGTTCCTGTCAATGAAGACAGCACTCCTGGTTGCACTGGCCTCCATCAAGAGGGTAGGGGACCTGCACGCATTTTCCGTTCAACTCACTCCCTTCCGGGACCAGGTGGTGAACCTGCAAGCGCTGCCCCTGGAGGAGGCAGACCCAGCCTTGGCACTGCTCTGTCCAGTATGTGCACTCCGTGCTTACGTAGACAGAACACAGTGTTTCAGGACCTCAGACCAGCTCTTTGTCTGTTATGGTGGGAGCCAGAAGGGAAGGGCTTTCTCAAAGCAGCGGCTGTCTCACTGGATAGTGGACACCATCACTTTGGCTTACCACCAGCAAGGTCGACCGTGCCCCCTTGGTGTGACGGCCCACTCCAAACGGAGTGTGGCTTTCTCTTGGGCTCTAGCGCATGGCGCCTCGCTAGCAGACATCTGCAGAGCTGCAGGCTGGGCGACACCTAACACATTCGCGAGATTCTATAACCTCAGAGTGGAGCCTGTGTCCTCTCTTGTACTCGCTCAACCGGCCAGTACTGGACCCGCTCAGGTGTCTTCGCTTGCTCGCCACTCCACTCCACGGACTGGATAGGTGCAAATTCTTCTCAGCTGAGCCTTCCGTTGAAGCCCTGAGTCCTCCATCACTGTTGATGCTGGCGCCAGTGTCTGTTGCCTGGGCGATGGCTAGGTGCTTCCGTGTGCATGGTTCCTGCTAGTAACCTCCACATGTGTATTCTCCACTGTAAGCCTCTCTGAGCATGTGTCTTCCCTCGGTAAGCCACCTTGCCACCCCTGGTGTTAAGATTCTAGCCACCCTACGGGTTGGTCACTCTAGTATCCTCCATATGGAGCCCCACGGGGCCATGTGTGTATTCGTAAGTCCTCCCTATGGTAGGCATACTGCGGCATATTCCCCTGCAATATGCTCCCCAGTGTACCTTGGTATTCCTGTGTCAAGTAGGACTCCTCGTCAGTAAGCTAAGTGCGACAGGGGTTCAGACTTGCTTCAGGGCACTGGAAGATAGCTGTGAAGGTGGCGTGATTACATGGGAGACCCCCATTCTCCGTCATCCGACGTAACTCGGAGTGACTACGAAAGGGAACGTCTCGGTTACGTATGTAACCCTCGTTCCCTGAGTAGGGAACGGAGACGTTACGTCTCCCTGCCACTTCCGCTGTACCACTGGGTAGACGCCCGAGTTCAGTCTCGGCTCCTCAGCGAAGACACACTGCGGTTGTGTCCGCTTCCTCCTTTTTTACTCACGGGGTGAGGCGAAGATACACTATGCAAATTCCGCAGACCCATGGCATTTCTTTGCCATTGGCTCATTTTTTAATACTCGAAGAGGATTGGCTTACTAGGCGAAACCCCCATTCTCCATCATCTGACGTAACGTCTCTGTTCCCTACTCAGGGAATGAGGGTTACATATGTAACCGAGACGTTTCCCACTGTTTGCGCATATTACCCATTCACCTATATTGGTTGTTTGTTTGTTTTAAATGGCAGACTTAACATTTATCCATTTCTGGTCATAATTTGGAGACGATGAGCATATGAACCGTTGTGCTGCTGCTTATATTTATAAAGCTGTAAAAATACCCAAAACCAGTCGTCTGTGGATGAGAGCCTGAAACAAGCACTGGTGGGCCACTGTCCTGCTCCACTTCATAGACGCAGTGAAATGAGAATATTAGGATGACGGGACATTCTGAGCATCATACGTCATTACGCTATTTCAACGTCATTGCACATGCACAGTCCTTTCAGTTTCGGTTTTTAATCCGACCAAGTGTTTACATGTTTACAGCCGACAATCTGATTACTAATGGATAATTTGGTTACATGTAAACGTAGCCACCAAAGGCCAGTCATCACTTTTAACACCAGTGGGTGAGATTCATATATACACATATTCATATATACATATAATACTAGAGTTTTTGTTGTGTTTTAACACTGTACATTTGTAAATTCTGGTATAACAACTATTATTGAATGCTTGTCAATATTATTGATTGGACAAAGAGAGCATGCAGCCTATTTAATTAATAACTCTTGCACATCAGTTGGATTTCTATATTTCTGATCCTATTCTGTTGGAGCTTGTTTTTTATACCCCATCTCAATAGCATTAGTAGTGCTAATCCCTATTCATAATACATAATACAAGTCTGAAAATTAGTTTGAACTCAGGGTTAAACTGCAGATTATGTTAAAAAGGATGATAACTCAGGGAGTAAAAAGGCCATGTGGCGATAGGAAGAAGGTACCCTTGCACACAGCACTGAGTGTTCTCTTTCCATTTGGGAGTCTCATGGCTGACCATTGGCCATCTCTTTCACAGACTCTTTGCATTGCTGGAAAAGGGTAGTGTCCTGCCTTGCAGTGATAGGTCAGCACGCTCCCCTCCAATCCCTCATTGGAGTAGGCCACACTACCTCCCTTTATGGACACTTCCAACGAGCAGTTCTTCTGTGTTTCCTCATAATCTCCATAATCACTGGTTTCTAAAATACACAGATTCGGTTAATAGTAATCATAGAATTAAATGACAATGGGTCATTTGGGGATTTTTTTACAGTAGAGTAAGTCTAATCACTATATTAACTACAATATAATCATGACATAATTCCCTTTACCATTGTTAATGTCAGCTTGAATATGCTGTAGATAGCATATTACATTTTTAGTTTCAATTTTATCATAAAAATTAGGATAATGCTCCTTGTACTCTGGCCACAGCAATTGAAGAATTTAATGATTATTAATGATAAAAGACCCATAGTTGTGGGATTATTTCCACCACAATGAAGAATATAAGTTTTTTCAAAAGTTTTCCTTAGTTACTATATTTTGCTACCAAAGAGACAAAAGTGTCAGTGAAAAGCATGCTTGATAATATGAGATATGTGATGTGTAAAGAAAACAAAAGAAAAATTTAAAAACCATTTGTGATATTTTTGGGCACAGTCTGATGTGATTTGGACAAAAGTAGGTTCTATGTAAGTAACAAGCCTCATGTTTTCAGTCTCAAAGCCCATACATATTTCATGAAGCTTGTCATGGTATCCAATACTTTACTTGTATGGGATATAGTGAATAAATATGATCACACTTTAAAGTTTACCTTCACATTTGACCCTGGATACTCTTGGCTCCCATTCTCCATCAGAGCTGCAGACTTTTTGGCTGATTGGATAAGGTTCAAATCCATCGCTGCAGTGATAAATTAGCCGACTACCCACAACACCGCCATTTGAATACTTCACCGTGCCTCCAATAATGGATTCAGATGTGGTGCAGTTTTTGGGCTCATTCTCCCCATAATCATAATCATAGTCATATCCTGATTGCACTGAAACAGAGAAATATTGAATATTGGTAACCTGTACATTTGATCCTTTTAGATCTGAAAGTTTGGGCAACTTTTGACTTATCAGTAAAATCCATATCTGATCTGTCTAAATGAATCCTCTTGATGCCTTTCCTCTCTATACCTGCAAAAGTTTTAATTCCCTGCAATGAGAATTTATTCTGATTAAAGGGGAATCAGAATGCCATACTGACTGGAGCTGGGGATTGAGGAGGGTAATCAGCTCCTGAGAAACGTGATAGCTGCTGATAATTCTGAGGAGCTTATATAGGCGTCGTATTCCTATAGGAAGACGTGTATCTAACTTCAATTTCAGGACATGTAAGTATCGCATGTTATATTTTGTGAATTTACTTGTATGTCTAATGTGCCTAAAGTTACCATTGTCTCTGACTGAGTTCACAGACATCAGAGCTATGCCATTAGTTTTATTTTTAAGAAAATTAATAATAGTGCGTTTCTGAATTGCACAGGCAGTGAGCATGTTCGGGTTAAAAATAACAAGATCTTGTCTTTGAAAATACAGTAAGAGACCGTGGTAACTTTTGCCTCAATAGCACATTCAGAAAAGCGATGTCATATATTTTTGTAATTAATTTTTGGAATGCAAGACACACACAAACACATGCCTGTCTTCATAATCCTAGTTTTGACTTCTAAAGTTTATTGAATTCGACCCAAATCCATAATTTCACGTGCACGGAAATATACAGTGAAAGTCCAAAGTTTCAATACTGCTCAAAACCATTTTTTATTCATGATTAAAGGAGAACTCCGGCGCAAAATGAACCTTTGGTCTAATAAAACATTGGTACCTCGTCAACCATTCTCTGAGATTTGTTTTCATGATAATCGAACATAAAGAGTTTTATCTCTAAAACTGTTTAGATTATAACGCTATGAGGGCATATAATAAGCAGGGCTGCCAACTCTCACGCATTGAGCATGAGACTCACGCAATTGAGTCAATTCTCACGCTCTCATGCCACACCCCCGATTTCTCATGAAAGATAAGTTTATCTAAATATCCACCAGTTGAGCCACTCGTGATCGACTAGTTTTAGTTTTTAAAATGTCATGCATGCGAGACAGATGTTGAGCTCCTAACGGCGAGGACGCAAAACCAGGACTGGAGTCAAAGCCAATTCCTCTCTGCACTCTAAGCGTTCTGTTATCACTCCGATTACATCCACTACGGGTTTTCCAGTCTCACTCACAGGAAAAACTGCTCTGTGTTCGCGTGAACAAAGTTCACACGTTTCTCTAAAAACACCCAGCACAAACAGAATGCCTATTCTTAAAGTCTTGTGCTGATTTATGAAATCATGGTTTCGTTTTTTAGTTCATTGGCAAAATATAATGCTAGAGACCTTCATGTTAGTTTAAACATTTTACATCTCATGTTCGGCAAAAGGCGGATTTGAACTCGGGTCCAAGCGCACCATCAAAAGCTCTTTCATGAACTACAGGCTCTGCGATCTACGCCACTGTAGCTCATGCGTAATGGGCGTGTTTTTGACAGAAAGACAGGCACTAAAGGCGGCTTTAGTGCAAATATAGGCTATGCATTTATCACCCCCACCCCCCGGGGATAAGTCTTACGCCAAGCTAAACTCAAAAGTTGGCAGCCCTGTTAATGTGTAATTTAATTGTTTGATTCCAGAGTGTAAAAAGCTTATTTTTTCAGACAACAATTCATTGATATTTCATGTCGTGTGTAATTTTGTTTTGTATTTATTTTGATATTTAATATCTAAGTTAGAAAAATTTATTTAATCCTAACAATAATTTATAATTTAGTGTTTATTAAATAAATATTTTTGGTTGAAAAAGTATTTTTACTTTCAATTGACTACAGAAATGTGATTTGTGCAAATTATTATTTTTTAAGTTGAGAAAAAGTAAACCAATTACTTGCAACAAGTTGAAGTAATTTTTTTTACTTTGAATCAACGACTCAGAACAAATCTGTCATGAGAAAAAGTAATTGCAGCCACGTTTAAATCTTTATATTAAACCAACAAATTGGAGTAGAAACATAACAATATCAAATTTTTATATAAATGTTTGTGCAGCCTAACTTTTGATTGTTGATTATTAAATAAAGTTTATTTAAACAATTGATTAACCAATTTTTGTTTTGTTTTTTGCGCAATTCTTCTCAAAGGAAATCGTTGTGTAAACATCTACTAAATGTGGACGGAAGGCCAAAACGGAGAGAAAAATATGCGTTTTCAAACGAAAACATAAGTATGGACATGGACTATGGTGCTGTTTACTACACAACATTGTTTTCAAATAAAAATGTAAAACTTTTTATGCGTTTTGGCCATTTCGACAGTGGCATTGTGGTTGCCTGAAAATGCAAACTTTTGAAAACGGTTTCAAAGTGCAAGCTTTTGAAAACGGTCTCCGTGTAAAGACAAAAACAGGAATCTCTGAAGACGATGATGTCTTGCACACGCGTATTACTTGTTCAAACTACAGTGTTTTATCTCAATCTGATGGCCTGACAGCAGAATACAGCATTTCCGCATCCGTGTCAATGGGAATCGTTTTGACAATGATGTTATCTGTGCGCAGAAAACTCCATGGAAAAACTTTTCCGTTTTAAGTATATAGTTGTTGTGTAAACATACCTTAAGACATAACCAACTATGTTTGCTAGGATACTCGCTGAGACAGGCATTTTTTACATAATTCTTTGTGAATTTGTTTACTGAAGCGCAGGTAGGCATGAAAGAGAACTCAACTTCACGCACCGTGGCTTTCAGTGTGTATGCTTCGGATTCTAAACTTCCCACACAGCATGTGAGTAACAAATTCCCTTTCTCATGTTCCATTGCTTGTATATTTACATGGGAATGGGTGAACTGGCGACTGACACCATTTCATACACTCACCAACAGAGATTTTCACTCACATTTTGCAAAATGGTTAAACTAGTTGTCATAAACTGTTCTCAGACAGGTTACTACATAAACCAGTTCTCAGAAATATCTGATTTTCGTAAAACTTAATTTGGCAAGCGTATATAGACAAAGTGTGACACAGAGTTAATTCTGACAATAACAGAACAAGGAAACAAACAAGCTCAATTGTTCTGAGAAATGCACATACTGGTTTGCAAATCTTAAGGGTGATTCAAAAATGTATCAAAGCGACTGAGAAAAAATGTAATGCAGCCACATAATGATAAAAAGAAACACACGTTTCAGCTACAGACCTTCATATTTCTAACATAGATGAACACATTATTATTCTCAAAGTTTGCAAGAAAAAAATGGTCTCATTAGGGACTTACCTTCAGATACAGAAATGTACCAGAAAAAAGTGATTATACATGCAGTAGTGTAGTGCATAGCTGACATGATCAGTGCTGGCTTCTTTTAACTCTCCGCTTTGGGTGAAATACAAATATGAACCTTTGTAACGTGTATTTGAGGAGTCATTAAACATTAACATTTTAATGCAATTCTGGTAAATTCTATAAAGTAATCAATTTTAGTGAGTCTTAAAGGTGTAGTGTGTAATTTCTGAGAAGAACCGAATTTCTGAAATAAAATGGTTTTCAGACTGGTTTTCCAAACCAGTAATTTCATAGTGAAAGATGAAATGTGGCCAACTTTGATAGACCATGTTCTTGTTCATAGACAAAGAGTACAAACTTATTTGAGCAGATTCCCCATAGCAGTGCTTTTCTGGCCCAGCGCTAGTCCACACAGCCCCCAGGTCTGGATTTAAGACAAGGGCTTTACTTTACTTCTTTCATCCTAAAGTTCTTATTGAAAATTAACAGAGGTTTAGATGTTGATGTTTTATTGAAAATAGATAATTGTGATCAGTGTTTGCTTTAGTTGGACTTTTGACCCTTGACGTTTTATCATTAGTTTGTTTCTGGCTGCTGTAACTGTGTATTTCTCATACACGTATGTTATGGCAAAAAATGCAAGAGAAACTCAGATGATGTTGGTCACTTGTTAGTCATCTTTAGTGGCCTGATGCACTGATATCAGAGTCTCTAATTAAATTGTTTAATATTAATTGTTAATTTCACATGCCAATACTACTGCAGAAATTCAAACAGTGCCGTAATACTCTGAAAGATTTTATGAAGTCATTATGCAGAAAATGTTCTGACCAATGTCATGTAGACTCACACGTCAAGAATATGCATATGAATCTCAACAGTGGTGACAATAAAAACAATTATTCAGATCAACTTTGAACGTCACAAAACAAGCCACTAAAGTCACAAAAAAGCTTTGTTTATTATCATCATTGTTTAGATTCATATGTTCATATGTGAGATGATAACTACACATAAACAACAAAAATTCATCAACTAACCATTCAGAAATCTCCTACTCCTACAAATCTCCTCTTTTGCTTCTACATGTTACTTATTGAGTCTTTCCATCTTTGTCTAACTGGTATAAAAGGGCATTAAACCACCCCTTTAAATAGCATAAATTATTACAATTATTACAAAACGCAATATGTGACGGCCGGTGTTGATTCCTTGGTGCACCGCTACAAATTAGTCGGATGCTGCCTTCACATTGGGATACAGCTTATGCGTGGGGATGCTGCCAGTAGCGGTTCTAGGCACGGGTGAACCGGGCAGTATTTCTTCATGTCACATGGGGGGCGGCAGGAGCAGTTAAAAAAATCCTCTCTGCCGCAAAGGTTTTTTGTTTTTCATCATTTCAATTTAATTATTGGCAATGGCGTCCCTGCTTGATGAGAAGGTGCCGTGCACAGAAGCGATGTCAAGGGGGTCTCCTGATTAGTTCACGTATCGCGTCTTTTGCACGCTCAAGGTCGTTATTTCAAATAGGCGATTAGGCGCACGGGAAGCGCGCTCATTATGCGCTCGCAGGAGGTGCGCTAATAAACTTTTCAGTATGGGAGTGCACGTGCACCCAAACACTTGGGTGTTTTTTCTCTTCTCCGTAAATAAATCTTTTAGCAGAGCTTCAGCAAGCGTTTTTCTGTGGTGGAAATACATTAGCTACTAAAACTTCTCTGTCGTTGTGGAGAGCGCAGTGCATGGTTGTATAGCAACGACAGCCATGGGCAAATCGGTCCCAATTTTACTATTAATAATAAAAGATAAGCTACTGTGCATTATAAATGTCAGGAATGTATCTATATTGACTCATTCTTTTTATAGAGATGGTTTAAATGCTGAAATATGAGGTTTATATTTTTGTAAAATCTTTTTTTGTGTTAACATTTTTTAAGTTTAGTATAGGTAAGATAAAAGACACTCCTTTAAAACAAATCTTTAATGTTATTAACTTGGTGAATTGATTTCATTGTGTATTGGGCTTTTTGAACAAGATTCTGTGTATGTGATCATGTTGGTCACTATATTCATGAAATGAAAATAATTTACATAATGATCAACTTTACGTGTTTTTACAGTGGCCTATAATATGCAAAGTACAATTTTCTATTTTTTAAATAATCTCTGATGCTGTCCTTTTCTCTGACATTTTAAGAGTGATAGGGCTACAAAAGCTATTTTACGTCTATAACAGTTTGGATAGTTGTTAATATGAGAGCTGTTCAAAATTATTTCAGAGATAAGTATTGTGTTACTAAATAAGTATCTCTCTGACCCTTTTACTTTTAAAAACTCCATTTCATGACAAAGTATAGTTTAACAAGTCTCGAAGGGGGCTCTCGTCCTGGGTGTAATTCAAGGTAGAACCGCCACTGGACGCTGCCTACCTTGTTCATATAGCTAGCCGGATCCTGGATGGGGGTGTGTATGTGTGCAGTGCTGTAAAGCGATTCGTTACATCACGAGAGCTGATATCACTCAATACTGATATCCCACCGGTCCAAACTTGCAAGTGTCGTTTACCATTCACAGGCAACAGGGGGTGCGAGATGGCCACCATTCAACCCGAAAAATGTCATATAACCATTCCAATAACTCCGAAGCTGTTAAGTTCAGCTAAAAAAAAAACTGCACAGTTCCCCTTTAATTAGCTGTTTCAGGTTTGTTTGATTAGGGTTGGAGCAAAACTCTAAAATTATAGGCTTGAGAAACCTGTGTTATAAATCATACCAGATGTTTTTTTTTTATTGCCGTATTTTATTTATTGATTTATTTTCTGTAATAGTTTTGTTTGTCGGTCTGGATAGGGGACTGTCACGGTTCCTCTGGTTTCCTGGTCCTGTCCCACACTACATTTCCCAGCATTCCCCTGGATCCTCACCTGCACTCGATTCCCTCATCACCACACCTGATCTCTATCACATCATAATCATTTCATCACCAGCCTTTATATTCTGTTTGCTCTCACTCCCTCACTGCTGGGTATTATATGTTACACAGTATTGTATTCCCTTGTGCCTTTTAAAGTTCTTGTGCTGGGCTAGTGTCTGCTGTGTTGCTAGCGAGGTGGATCCTTGCGTTATCAGTAAGACATTATGAGGATAGTCCAAGAGAGGACTTCACTGATCTTCTGTGAGTTATATGATCCGAGAGAGGACTTCACTCTTCTTCTGTGAGTTATATTCAGTGGATCGTCTGAGAGAGGACTTCACTCTTCTTCTGTGAGTTATATGATGAGGATCGTCTGAGAGAGGACTTCACTCTTCTTCTGTGAGTCAAGAATCAAGTATCTTCACTGAATTATGTTCTGTTGACTGTCTGAGAAAGAGGACCTCTTGTATCTTCTGTGAGTTATCCTTAAGAGTCATTTCAAGAATGGACTTTTTATTATAATTTAAGTTATATTTCTGTCTGAAGTCTTTTTCTAAGTTCCTGAACTTCTATTAGTCTGTGGAATTGCCTTAAATAAACTTTGTATTCTGGTCTTCAGCCTGGTTTTGTTGTGACAGGGACAGAGTGAAGCAATCATGTCTATGATTAAAATCATGTCTATGAAGAGCCCTCACAAAACACACATACACACACAGTTGTTGGGTTTTGGGGTGGGGGTGGGGGTGGTGGTATGTGTGTAGATGTGTGTATAAAACAGGATTATTACGGAGCTCAATCCTCTCAGCTGACTTGGCTTTGGGAATATTTGAGAAGAACGTTCTGAATACCAGCCACTTTCTTTTAACAGCACAAGATGTTGGACCATAATATTACAGCATTACAAAGAAACAAAAATGAATTAATAAGATACATTTAAAAAATAAATAATTAAAAAAGACATTATATTCTATGCAAACATTCAATGGATTTAAAGACAACTAAAACATGTCCAGGCATCTTCCTGCCTCAAGATTTCAGATAACTAAACATATATAAATGGTTTCTAAAAATGCAAAGATGATGGACTCCGAAATTTCAACTGGAAGCCAAGGTGGATATGAGGTAAATTATTATTATAATTGCAAGTAGTAGTTGTAGCCATGGTAGAATTTATTTGTTATTTATAGAACATTCAGTTTTGGTTCTAAACTTTGTTTTAACGTTCATAGAATGTTTTCTGCAACCCAGTTTTCGAGCCTGATGAAGTAAATGAGGAAAACAAAGAAAATCTCAAAATTGATATATACCTTGAATCTACTAAAAAGCCAGCTGCAGGTAAGTGTGCATACCTTGACCCCAAATCATTCTGATATATTTAATATAGGGTATTCTTAGTACAAGTAAAACATTTTATAACACACTTGTAATATGCACAGATTTAAGCGCCTTTCAGTGTTGCAGTAAATCTAATTTATGTATTCCATTTACTATATTTTTGTCATTTTTGAAAGGTCACAGTGTGGTAAATGACTGTTTGATGACTTTAAGAGAACAGTTGGGTGGCCATGGAACAATAATGGTGTCAACCAGTGTGTTTTTGATTATGGCTGTTCTTTGCATCATACTACTCCTTGCTCTCAACCGTGAGTAAGCAAATCACATTTTACATCTTTTATGTGGTATTGCTGTTCTTTATGTGGTATTATTTTCATTCTTTCATTTGATGTTTTATTTTATGTCACTGTATAACTATTGTTAAAATAACCTTAAAATGATGCAACTTAGATGTTTATTGTGATTTTAAGTAATTAAAGGTTGAGGACTTTCAAGACATTGGTATTATAACAAAGGTTTTCAAGGAACATTATTTCTGAGAAAAACAACAATTACTGGTAAGGCTTTATAAGAATACTGTATATCAGTAAGAACAATGTAAAACAATTTACATAGGATGACAAACAATAACTTTTGCAAGTGAAAAACAATGATTATATAAAAATCAAAACAAAGGAGCACATGGTACCGATTCCGATACCTGGACTCAGGGTATCGGCCGATACCGAGTACCGATCCGATACCTGGGTGTGTATAGTATCTATTCAGCTGCAATTCATTAGCCTGACTTCGTCATACTCATATTCTATTCTTCTTTTCCGTGCTGACGAGAAGAATGACCACCTACCTCACGG